GGGAACACTGTTAGATAGATAGAGATAAGTATTGATTTGGGTGAAGAGAAGGGCAAGGTACCAAATGTGAGTGATCAATATGGTGGCATTGAGGAAGAGAAAGAGAGAGGTACATGGGAGGTACAGACAACAGTGATGAACCCTTTTGCAGTGCTGCGTTGTCAGTGAAGGCAAACATGGTTATATGGGTGGATAGATGGGTGGACAGATGGGTGGACAGGCTGAACTAGTAGATATGTCTGTGAAGTGGGGAGTGTACCCAAGTACATGTACAGGGTTGGCAGACAACGATTCTATAAGTTTATGTGTATGATCTGAATTCCCAGGTGTATTGTAGAGCTGACAAGAGGCAAGGTGGTAGTCACTGCTTGGTCACAGCCAGCTAGCTACCCAGAGGGACCGAGTAGTTGAATCTGTGGGCTCGGGACCATAGTCACGGGGGACATGAAGCTCAATTGGCATTAACATACTACACAAAACATTGTTCCACCTCCTACTTTGGTGTGTAGTGACTGGAATCTTAAAAGCTTGCAAGCTGCCATCTAGATGCAACGATGGGTCTCTCCCCATTGAGAGCAAAGCAACTGGTACACCATCCAATCTCTAGCCTATACAACTATGAGACCAGAATAACTAGATGGTGCCTGGCTACCATTGTCAACCATTTGGAGGGGGATCTATGTAGGAGATCCTGGATAGAGGGGGAGAACAATGTGGACAAAACTCAAAATCATTTGGAGAAAAAAAAATATGGGTGGGAACCCGGTTTGCTGGTCCAATAGAGCTTGGTGGAACCACTGAGACTATGGCCCCTAGCTGCATGTCAGGTCTGTAATTGCACCCGCAGGTGTGGCTTCCAGCCAAGCAAAAGACAGGCATATGAGTTGAACATTTACCTGAGGTAGATACTCTCCTTGGAAAGAACAATCATGGGAGAAAGAAGGGCTGCTTATGCACCGGGAAACTGCTCAGGGGGCAGGAGGGCATGGAGGGATTGAGACAGGGAAGAGGTAATTATTGGGAGGAAGTGGGAGGGGAGCTGTTGCATTGTGGTAAATTGTGGTCAGTGTCATGAGACAAAGTGTATGTGAACTGCTGTATGGAAAGTGAATTTTCTCTGTAAATCTTCACCTAAATCACAATTAAAAAAAAAAAAAAAATGAAAGAAGCCATTCACAAAAGACTATATATTGTACCATTCCATATATATGAAATGTCCAGAATAGGCAAATTTGTAGAAAGAAGATAGATTGATGGTTCCTTAGGTTTGGGAGAAAATGGGAGTGACTACTAATAGATACTGGTTTCTTTTTGGGGTGAGAAAAATGTTCTAAATTTAGCATAGGAGGGAAGGGCATGGGGAATAGGTAACTACAGGGAGGAAGTGGGAGGAAAGCTGTTATATTGTAGGAATTGCAGTCAATGTCATGAAACAAAATGTGTATGAACAACTGTATGGAAAATGCATTTTGTATTTAAACTTTCACCCAAATCACAGTAAAATTTTTTTAAAAAATGTTAGTTTGTGGTGATGTTTGCAAAAGAAAATACACTAAAAATCATTAAATTATATACTTTGGATGAATTTTTTATATGTAAATTTTATCTTAATTGAGAAGTTTTAAAAAAGAACAAAAACAGATTGTTCATAGATGACCAGTCCCTTTTCCATACCAAACCCAAGCACTATCTAAGTAACAAAAAAAAAAAAGAAAAACCAATGTTCTATGAATTATTCCTATTATTCCAGTAATATAATCCCATTGTATAAATGAGAGCTGCATACAGTGAATATGAACATTTTGTTTTGATTCAGAAATGATGGGAGAACATAGGAGGGAAAGGCTTGCTGGTCCAGTCTGTACCAATTTGTAGTACATCTTGAGACTGAGATGCAGGTGGGTTAGGGATATACACTTGACTACTCTACAGAGTTTCTGGGATTAAGTTAGCTATTAACTCTTTTCTTTCTTTGGGAATGAAAATGTGTTTAATTTTATGTGCTTTTACTTCTAAAATGTATCTCGTTAATAGGTTAAAAAGTTCAGACATTATAAGATTGAAAGATCTCTCTAGGCTATGTATATACCGTGTGTGTATGTAAATACACTTTCTGCTTATTTTGACAGCTGCTCTGTATTCCATTGTATAAATGTATTCAAGTCCCTACTGATTGGTACTTAGGCTGTGTCCAGACTTTCGCCATTGCAGTCAAAACTGCAGGGGCCATCTTTATTGTATATGTCTGTGCATCTCTCTCTGATTTTCTTGAGATAAATTCTTGTAAGTTTTAAACACAAGTGACTTTGCTTCTGTTTTTCCCAGAATGTTGATCCTGATGCCCGCCCCAAGAGCACAGGTGTCTTTCAGGATGAAGAACTCCTTTTCAGTCACAAACTACAAAAAGACAATGACCCAGATGTTGACCTTTTTGCTGGCACAAGAAAAACCAGGGTCAGTTTCATATATTATAACTTTGTTATTATATACGATTTTATCTCGGCAGTATCTTGTTACTGCTTAGTTCTCTTTGTAAATTATTTCCACTTTGGGTATTAAATTTGAGTTTTTCATATTTCTTCTAGTTAGAACCAGCTGTTGGGAGCCTGTTTGACGATGATGAAGAAGATGATCTTTTCAGCTCTGCCAAGTCCCAACCTTTGGTATCAGCCTTTTGTTTTCAATACTGGGGAGTTTGGGAAGGCTTCTGGGAAAGGAAATTACTGTCCAGCTGTATGATTAGGGCACATCCACAGAGAATTGTTGTATTTACAGATAAAAGAGTGGTAAATAATGTGCTGCTGAGAGGGTATCTGCTGGATTTGAGTCTCAGTTCATATTGTTTCCATCTTTCATTACCTCACTCTTAACTAATACAGACTCTCTCAGTGTATTATACATTTGTTTGATTTTCACATTGTTTATTGAATGACAAATGCATATAATGTGGTGACTAAAATATATGTGCCTTTCAAGTGCAAAACTTTCAATCTGAATCTGTGTATGTGTGTGATTTGTCACCTGCCCCAGTAGATTCTGTAAGTGCTTTCTCTTTTTATCATAGAGAGGACTCATGAGAAGGTCACAGTCTTTAGAATGTGTTTTCAGATTAGCTACCTTTGAGTTAGTTTGATCCTCATTTGAGAAACCGCTTTTTAAACTCAGAAGCCAGGTTCCTTTTTTGTATTATGATAGGAAAAAAAAATTATTTTTCCAAAGATAGCTGACAGATTTTGGGTACTCATTTTCTTTTGAAGATACCTGAAAAGAAAAGGGAAGTGAAACGAGACCATCCTGTGCCATCTTTCAAGAACCAGAAACATCCTGAATCCACTCACGGTATCAAAGAAAAAAACATAAGGAAGCTGGAAACACCTCAGGTGAGAACCAATCACTTAAAGAATTTTCAGCTCTTGTTTCCATCTCAGCAGATTAACTGTTATGCCAACTCTAAATTATTGAGTTTCTCTTCAGTAAGTAGCAAGCAGTAACTTGGATTGGACTTCCTCTGTTGCTTTATTGTACTTTTTAACCAGACTTCCTCTCCCCTCATCACTCCACATTCCAGAGTGTTGTGAATCTACACTTGTCATTATCTTTTTCTATATTCTCTATACAGTTATTTCTATATTCGATTCCAGGATAGACTTAAGAGAGGATGATAGTCTTCTTCAGGCCAGAACCCCTATTTTTTCCTCTGGGGTACCGTAGAGTAGAATTAAATCAATTAAATTTGATAACTTAGGTGCCCTTCACTATTACTTCTTCCAGGATTATTGTGGTTAGGCCTCCTTCCTCAACAGAGCTCCTATTTGAAACAGGCTAGGACTGAAGATTTGGGCTCTGGCTACTCAGGTGTCCCTGGATAGCTCCCTGAGGCTATGGTGTCCTAAGTGAGACACTTGGACTAGTAGATCTCCAGTGACTCTTTTCAAACCTCAGATTCTGTCACTGCTATAACTTGTGCATTAGGCTGTGGGGTGGCTTTCTCTGTGCTCACTGTTAATTTGCTGTGTTGGATAACTAACATGATAATTCTGCCTGCTGGTTAGGTTTTGGTGCTCTAATAAACTGTGCTGCTTGTGAATCTTGCTTGTCATCTCTGTCTCCCTTTACTCCATGTAAGATCTAGCTTCTTCCACCTATACAGTAGATGAGGAGGGATAGTGAATTGATGCTAGTGAAATATTGAGGCCTCAGGAGTGATTTAAATGCCTTTTCCATTACAGAGCTACAGAAAATGACAGGCTTTGTTTCACCTGAGATGAATTTACAGGCATTAGTATAAACCAAGAGACAGTTTTCTTACTGTTGACTCACTGATTTTAACTGAATGTAATTTCACACAGGACTCATCAGGTCCCGCTCCATTTAAAACCAAAGAACCATCTACTCGGATCGGGAAAATACAAGTAATTATAACACTTCTGGAATCTTCATTCCCTGCCTTGTGGCATCTATAAACTTTTTTAGATTCTTAAACTGTCAGCTGCCACCAAGCATTTTCCCATCTCTTCCCCACCCTGTGGTTGTTGGCTTCTTGTATGCTATGTCTTTAACGTTTTCTTTTTGTTCCAGTGGTGGGTAAAGTTGTATGACTTTCTGTCTCAGTCCTGGACTAAATCAGATTTTTCTGCATTTCTATTTCTCTCCTTATCCTATACATTATGTACACCAAGTCTCTTGTCATATGTCATAGTAATAATAATAGACTGCTGGGTCTAAGAAAGAATAAAGAATAAGTTTATTTTTTCTTCTTCAGGCAAATTTAGCCATTAACCCAGCGTCCTTGCTGCCTGCAGCAGTTCCCCGGATTTCTGGAGCAAAGCCTGTGTTGCCTGAATTGGCTTTTCCTCCATCAGAACCCAAAAGTACGGAGGCCGGCGTGAGTTTTGATCTTCCAGCTCAGGCAGACACCTTACACAGTGCAAACAAGGTGATGAAACTATCTTTCATTTTTTTCTTTCTTCTTTTTTTTTTAATGAGAATAACTTGTATGCTCATTTCAAGCCCATTAATTACACACAGTCGTCTACCTCCCCATTCGTAGGAAACACCTTGTATCATTCCTCTGCTGGCTTCTCACAGTTCAGAGGAGAATATTCCACTCCTCTGACATTAAAGCCCTTTAGTCCATCCCTACCTTATGTTTCCAGCTATGCTCCCTGGAAGTCACCCATTCATAATCTGGACTCAGGTAATACCAGGCACCATTCCCTGAATACACATGCCCTATTCTGCAGCTTATTAGCTTATGCCACTTTTTCTGACTGGGTTGCTCTTTCTCACCTAGAACTCTGCTCAGAGATCACCACTTCTGTAAAATTTTTCCTTGTGTCCCTTCCACCCCAGATCCCTCCTCTGAGATTCCCTGTCTGCCACAGTCTAATGCAGCCCCATCATCCCATACCAGTGTTTCCCAAACGGACTGTCAAACATTCTTCAGGTTTTGCTTTCGTTTCATTTGTTTTCATTCCTTCTATCAGATTTCCATTCTCTAGAAAGTCTCTGAGTAAGTGTCCCTGAGTAAGTGACAGGATGTAGGATAGCCCTGGCAAATATATTCATACCAAGTATTCCCAAACTTATTTTCCCTTTGTGTGATTTTTTTGCTGTTGCAGAGCCGAGTCAAAGTGAGAGGGAGACGCAGACCCCAGACCCGTGCAGCTCGGCGGCTGGCTGCCCAAGGGAGCAGTGAAGCAGAGGACATGAGTGACCTCAGAGAACCAATTTCACAGTTAAGAGATAGCACCATTTCACCAGATTTCCACCAGCCACAGCCCAAGGCAGTTGGTGGAGAAGACAGCTCTGTGGCAGCTGCTACTCCACCTTTGGAAGGCGGTCCTGTGCCTGAAGTAGACAGGAGCCCCTTTGCAAAATCTCTGGGTCAACCTCTTGAGAATGATCTTTTTGATTCTGGGGATATCTTTTCCACGGGCACTGGATCCCAGTCCACAGGGAGAACAAAAGCCAAGGAGAAGGCAGCAGAGTCCCCAGCTAGCCAACCGGGAAGAAGTAAAGAACAGAGGCGTATTTTCTCAGCTCTTGATGAGGCAGGCAGCGATGATGATCTCTTTCAGTCTGTCAAACCAAAACCAGCAAAAAAAGCCAGTCCCTTTCCTCTCCTGGAAGATGAAGATGATCTCTTTACAGATAACAAAGGCAAGAAGAATGAGTCAAAACTTCATAGTCAGCAAGATGTTATATTCAAAACACAAGATATTTTTGAGGTAATAGGACATCATAATACTTTTTTATGCCTAGTTCTGTTATGGAAATACCTGAGCTCATTAGAGCCACATGATCATGTTATGCTTGTTTCATGCATGCCTGGTACCTACTTCTTAGAAATTATAACTAGGTTCTCTTATTAATAATTCTGAAATTTACTTGGAAATTTCTGTTGTGTCATGTAAGGCATAGTTTTTGGGTGGCCATAACAGTTGATACAGGTACTGATTTTTATAGTTTTTAGAAAACTCTTGGTATAAGTAGCTTCTTTCCAATGCTACTTGGGACATACATAAAGGAATATTGGTCCAGTTTGAGTGTTTAAGCTCTGTTCATGGGGCAGTAGGCACTGGCTGGAACTGAAGATTGAATGCATGCAGTAAGGGCTTCAGAGGCACTTGCTCGGGAGATGTTTATTGAACTTCTGGGTGCTGGAGGTACAAAGTGTTCGGCTCTCCCAGAGCACTCAGAGGATATAAACAGCAACATATAATTAAGATGTTTTCAAATAACATTAAGTGCCATAAAGAAAGTAACTCAGGGCAGTGGGGCAGAAGTCATGGGGTCACAGTGGGAGGTGCTACTTGAGAGAGAGGATTGGTAAAGTAGGCCTCTATGTAGAGCTTGTGGCACCTGAGTTAAGACTAGAAGAGTGAGAAGGAGCCCACCATGTTGAGATCTGGGGTAGAGCATTCCAGGCAGAGGGGGCAGGGGAGTGGCTGTTCCAGATTAGATGCCCAGAATTATGGCAGTTTACATTTCAGTAACTTATTGAAATACACATATTTTTAGTGAAACAAATTGTTGATTTAAAATTGTTTTTGATTGCTTTTTGGCTAAACAAGGATGATATATTTGCTACAGAAGCAAGTAAACCCTCACAAAAAAAGAAAGAACGAACATTGGAATCCAACTTATTTGATGATAACATTGATATCTTTGCTGACTTAACTGTAAAACCAAAAGAAAAATCCAAAAAGAAAGTGGAAGCTAAGTCTATATTTGATGATGATATGGGTAAGTTTGTTTTGCTACATAAGACAGAAGTCCCACAGGTAGGGAGAAGCCTGGGGCTGGGTGCTGCAAGACAGTGGCCAGAGGGAGGCCTGGGTCTGTTATTCTGAGGACAACAGGAGGCTATCCGAGGGTCTTAAGCATGGGAATGGGAGCAGGGTAAGGCCTCAGGGAGGTGTGAAGCGCTTTGTTAGCAATGAAAAGGTCCTGAGAGTTCAGCTCTTTTTCAGAACTCATCTCAAAACTGAGTTTAAAGTGATGTCTTTAAATTAAAAAGAAAAGTCACCGCCTCAAAACCACATGAAGTAAACCCAGTCTGCTATAGGTTGTTTTTCATGTGGAATACTACTGTATCCCTCTGAGGTTGATAGGAGAAAAAGTGGGAAAATGGAGATGGGGGAATTCACTTATTTTTATTAAATATTTCCCATAAAGCATAAAGAAATAATAACGTGTCCTCATGCATGTCTACCACCATGATTTAACTAAGTTTGAATATAGTTGTTAGGGGCTTTTTTGTTTTGTTCTTTAAAATAAAACAATACAGACATACATTTATTCTTCTGTAAATCTCTTCCTTTCCATCCCCACAGGTAATCATTATCCCAAAGTTCTTTGTGTCCTTCCTGTACAATTTATTGTTATTTTTATTATAAGAACATATATCAATATATAATATTTTATATTGTGTTTTTTTGGAATCCTGTATTGTGTTTTTGAACTTTAATGTAAATGGTTTCAAACTGTAAGAAAAGTAAATAAAATCCAGTCTGAAAAGAATATAAAAATAAGTACAGTATCACAGATAGTAAAGTCATGGACTGGATTGGAGATCCAGTTTTCCTTACCCCTTTCATTCCTGTGTGTGTGTGCACACACTTTTGTAGCTGATAAAATTGTGATCGAAGAGAACCTGTGTCTTGTATGTGATCATAAAGATTGATTAGTGGCAGAGCTGGGACCAGAATCTAAGAGGCTCTACTTCAGTATTGGTATTTTTTGGTACCCTGTTGTTAGTTGCCCTTGAGTTGATTCTGGGTGGTGCAGTGGTTAAACACTTGGCTGCTAACTGAAAGTTTAGTGGTTTGAACCTACCCAGTAGTTCTATGGGAAAAAGATCCAGTGATCTGTTCCCATGAAGATGACAGCCTAGAAAATCCTTTGGGACAGTTCTACTTTGTCACGTGGGGTTGCTATGGGTTGAAATTGACTTTACAGCATCGAACAACAATAATCTTAATGGAAGCAGATTGCAGTACTTGGATAGGTTTCAATCATCAATCTTTAGGTTAGCATCTGAGCACAAACCACTCGTGCCACCTAGGGACCTTAGTACTGTTACTAAAATTGGGTCTTTGGTGGTTTGTGTGGATGTGTCTTAAAAGTACTCATTTTCTCACCTATTGAGTAACTTTTTCTCTTCTTTCATTTTTTTTTTTTCTTATTAAAGATGATATCTTCTCCTCCAGTACCCAGGCCAAGACAACCAAACCAAAAAACTGGTCTGCACAGGCAGTGCCTGAACCAAGATCTGAACACAAGGTGTCTAACATATTTGATGATCCCCTGAATGCATTTGGAGGCCAGTAGAATGTACAGGGTATCCAGATCTTACCCTCCAGCTAAAGCCTTGAATTAATGCCATCTTATATGATCATTGTCTTAACTGAACTACAAAAAGTAAATGCTAAAACAGCTAGTTCACCTCTTACCCAATGTGTTTTTCTGCACTGGTTTTAATAATCATGCTTAATATGAAAAATAAAGTGTTTCACAGTGATGTTTGTTTTTTGAAAAATTATGTTTTGATTTAATTAGCTAAGGCCACAAGATGATTTAGGACACGTTAGAGAAGAAACCTGCTTGTGGCCTTCGTGGGTGGGAAGGGAATCATGGGGGTAATGAATGCCAGACAGTGGACATGTAAAAGAGAAAAAGAGAATGAGACCCACCAATCCTGTGCATCTGTCGATTCCAACTCATAGCCTCTCAGTAGGACAGAGTAAAACTACCCCATAGGGCTTCCAAGGCTGTAATCTTTATGGAAGCAGACTGCCCCATCTTTTTCTCATGGAGCAGATGGTGGATTTGGCACCCAAGCACTTTAACCACTATGCTGCCAGAAGTTACGAAGCCTAAAACTGTTTTCTGTCTTGCTCTTTAGAGAAGTTTGCAGACTGTTGTTTTAAGGCATCCATTTCTATTCCTTGGAGCTTTGCATTATCTTACGGAGATTTATTCAGCTTCTCAAACCTACTTTCCCACTTCAGTCAAAAGCAGAATGGAGAGTACAGGCTCTAGATTCAGGCAGATTAGTCTTGAGTTCTAACATGTAAGCTCTGTGACGTGGGGCCAAATCATTCTAACATCATCATCTACTATTTTTCCAGTGCCAGATACTCTGGTGGCATAGTGCTTGAGGCATTTGACTGCTAACCAGAAGCCTGGCGGTTCAAACTCATCAGCCACTCCTCGGAAGGAAGATTGGGCGATCTACTTGCATAGAAACCCAAGGAGGGGTTGCGATAAATCAAATCAAATAAACCTAGGTAATAGCTGAGAAGTACTTAAATGGAAATAAATGCCAGAGTGTAGCAGCAGTTCAAACCCACCAGCCACTTTGTAGAAGGAAGATGGGACAATCTACTTCTGTAAAGATTTATTGCCTTGAAAACCCAGTGGGGGTCACTCTTGTGTCAGAATCGACTCACTGGCAGTGGGTTTGGTATAGCCTTGTCAGTTTAACTTTCTACATTGATTAAAAGTTCTCTATCCCCATTGTCAGATGTGATAGCCATTTGCCACATGCATGACTGACCTCCATTTTTGTAGTTTCCTGTGGTATACTGTCTTGGTACTAGGTATTCAATCTGGAACTGTGACACAACTTGTAGATCATTTAGGTTGGCCTCACCAATCCTTAGGCACCAATTCCATTAGGCACTTTAGTCTTACTTCCTCACTACTAAAATAAAACTGGGCATTGCTCAAATCTGGAATAAGCTCCTGCAGGTCAGCTGTTCCACCTGCTCTGTTTCACCTCTATTGGCATTCAGTTTCCTCCTTTGTAAAGTAGGGGAGTCAATACCAGTTTTTTACAATTGTGATGGGAAGCAAACTCAAAAACTCAAATTCACTGCCATTGAGTCTATTTGACTCATAGCAACCCCTCGGGTTTCCGAGGTGGTATCCCTGCGGAAGTAGATTGCCCAGTCTTCCTTCTGAGGAGTGGCTGGTGGGTTTGAATCGCCAGACTTCTGTTTAGCAGTCAAATGCCTTAAGTACTATGCCACCAGAGGATCTGGCACTGGAAAAGTAGTAGATGATGATGATGACAGAATGATTTGGCCCAGGTAACAGAGTTTCCATGTTAGAGCTCGACACTAATCTTGCCTGACTCTAGACCCTGTACCCTTCGATTCTGCTTCTGACTTAAGTGGGAAAGCAGGGTTGAAAAGCTGAATTTTTGACTCAGTAAAACTCAGTTCATCACAGACACTAGTTTAGGCTAAGGTGTACAAAGATGATCTATCATCCTCATTGGTTTTGATCTAATCAAGCATTAATCATATATACAGTTTAAGAAAGAACATGTGGTAAGAGACATTGAAGATGTATGAAAGCCAGTGCCTTACTATATGTCCCAGTGTGTGGTCTCAATAGTTTGTTGAATTATGAAGATAAATTGCTGGGGGGAGGGCTCTCAATCTCAGAATGAGATGATGAGATGGGCTGAGAGATTAGGTTTTGGGGTTTCCTTTAGCCTGATTCCTCAATTGAGTCACAAGGTGAGGATGAATGAACAGACAGTGGAAGGGAAGATGAGCTTCATGAAGTTAGTTGAGTAATGCATCTAGTGAAGTTGTAGGTTGGGAAGCTCTACAGCTGGCTTAGAGCCATCTGTGTGAGGAATGGAGTGGACCAGAAGCAGTGGGGTCTCATCTGAGGTTGGACACCATGTGTTGTCTGGAAGCCAATTATAGTTTATGCCAGAGCTCAGCGGCTTGGAAATTGGAACAGAAAAGAGGGTGGCTGATTTACACAACGCTGGGATAGGGCAGCCCAGTCCACACTGAATGCTTGTGGAATAAATGGATTAGACTAAAACAAGTTGTCTTGCTTTCATCCTTATCTTCAAGTTCACAAAGATGGGCTGGGCAGTTTCTTCATCTCTCAGATGAGGCGACTAAGGTCAGAAACCTTAAGGGACACTGAAGTGCAGGAAGTGGGATTTGTTAGGTACTGGGCTAGCCCGAGAGTGCAACACAAGTGCCTTGAGCTTTGGAAGGGCCGCCGAAAGGACAATGGCTGTCCGGAGCCCCCTTCTGGGAAAACCCGGAAGATGCAGTCCACATCCTTTTCCAGCCAGAGGCAAACACCGCCATTTCCAACAGGCTGTGCTGCTGGCCTACAGTCCGCATGCTCTGAACCTAGGGTGGCGGGCACCCGAGCCGGTGTTCACGGTCGTTAGTTATAAAACTGCAACATCCGGGGGCCTCCTAACAGACAAATACCGCGGAAATGCGAAGGGAGCCCTGGCATCTAAGCAACCGCCGGACTGGAGTAGCGAAGTACCGCCTCCGCCTTTGCTGATTGGAAAGCGACGTGAGCGCAACCATGCGATTGGTACGCGGTGTCACAAAGGGAGGGAGGAGGGGGACTTCGGAGCGTTGCTAGTCAGGTCCTGCAGTGGCGTAGCTCGTGTGGCTGAACCTTTCCGTCGGCCTGCAGGAGGTCGAGGAGCGAGCGGACGGGGAAGCCAGTGAAGCGTGTCAGCGGGCCAGCTCCAGCTTTCTCCTGGGCGAGACCAGATGGAGAGGACGCCTGGGGCCGCGTACCGCTGAGCCAGGCCGCGCTGCTGCCGCCGCCTTGCCTGGGGGCGGAGGCGCGCCGGCGACTCTGCGTAGGGTAGCCTGCGGTGTCCCTCGTCTGCTGTCGGGCAGACGCCAGGCTCCGCTGCTGCCTGGGAGACCAGAGCGGCGGGCCTGCCTTTCACAGGACACGTTCTCCAGTTTTCGTCCCTCTTCGACCGCGTGGCAGGGTTCCCCACACCACCCCGACAGGTGCTTATCTCCAAATCGCTAGTTCTTAAGGGGAGCTTGACCACTGCCTCCTAGTCAGGCCTTTGAGTCTGAGCGGCCTGAGGTTAGCCTGGAGAAGCAAGGGCTGCGCAGGTGACTGGTCTACAAGTGTGTATGTATGTATATATACACACATACGTAATATATCTAGAAATATACGTACACATATGTGTGTGTGTGTGTGTGTGTGTGTATAGATAGAATTTTGAGTAGATGCTAACCCTGAAGTTTTCAATCCATGAGGAGTGACTCCAGGCAAGAGTTTACAGTACAGGTAGAGGCATTACACAGTTTATTTACATATAAATTTTGTGGCTTGCATTCAAAACGTAAGGATATTTTTCCACATCAATAAATATAGGTCTCTGTTACATTTTGAATGGTTGTCTGACATTCTGGATATCTTTATGTTGGGGAAAAAGTTTAAAAGACTGATCTTACGTGGCTAAATTTCTTTAGGACAGAGGAGATAGCAAATTCTGAATTACCTAAACGACTTAATCAGTCTTATTGCTTTACATATCTTTAACTTCCCTTTTGTCATTTAAAATTTTTTTTTATTGTGATGTGGGTGAAAGTTTACAGAGTAAATTCATTTCCCATACAGCAGTTCATACACATTTTGTTTCATGCCATTGACTGCAATGTAATAGCTCTCTCTCCACTTCCTCCCTTGTAGTTACTGCTTCCCTGTGTCCTCCTTTCCTGTGCATTCCTGCCCCCGAGCTATGTCCCTGTGTAAATACCCTTCTGTTTTCCCATGATTGATCATTCTAAGGACTGTATCTCCCTGATATAAATGTTCACCCTATATGTCTGTCTGTCGTTTGGCTGGAAGCCACTGAAGTGTGCTCAATTCCAGGCCTAAAGGGTAACTAGGGGCCATAGTCTCAGGGGCTTCACCAGCCTGTATCAGACCAATAAGCCTGGTCTTTTTGTGATTTTGAGTTTTGTTCCACATTGTTTTCCCACTCTATCCAGGATCTCCCACACTGATCCCTTTCCCAGTGATTGACCATGGTAGCTGGGCACCATCTAGTTCTGGTCTCATGGTCATATAGGCTGAGATTCACATGGTCCACTAGTCCCTTGGACTAGTTGTTTCTATGCAACTTTAGTTTTCTTTATTCTTCTTTGCTCTAGACAAGGAGAGAGACTCATTGTTGCATCTAGATGGCTGCTTGCCTTTAAGATTCCAGTGGCTACTCACTAAAGTAATATGTAAAACAATGTTTTTATGTAGTATGTTACACCAGTTGAACTTGATGTCCCCCACAACCATAGTCCCGAGCCCACAGGTCCAACAACTCACTCCATCAGGGTGGTTGACTGTGGCTAAGAAGTTATCATATCTTTGCCCCTTGTTCTATTTATATGGACATTCTTACAACATATACACTTACATATGTAGAAATATTATCATTGGTTTTTTAAAGAATATTTTTTAGAAGAGATGAGAGAAATGTTTTAGAAACTTTTTTTTTTTGCCATTTAAACCATTTTTAACTATACTATCCAGTGACATTAATTACTTGCATCCTGTTGTGCAAACATCACCACTGTCCATTTGCAAATGTTTTTCATCCCTTTAAACAGAAACTCAGTACCCATTAATAATACCAAACCCTCCTTTTTCCAATCTGTCTTTGTTTGGAAGCTCTCCTGAAACCTGTGCACCATTGGTGACCCTGCTGGTATTTAAAGTACCAATGGCATAGCCTCTAGCCTCACGGTAACATGTAAGCCATGACAGTACAACAAACTGACAGATGAATGGTGGGAAATTGACCAGATGGTTCTAAAATTCATATTGAAAGTTCAGGGACCCAGGATAGCCAACAACCCTGAAAAATTACAATTTGGAGAACTAAAACTTCACAATATCAAAGATTACTGTAAAAGTTACAGTAATCAAGAGAGGGTGGTAGTGGCATAAGGCTAGCCATAGAGATCAAGGAGTAGAATTGAAAGTCTAGAAATAAAGCCTCATGTTTACTGTCATTTGATTTTTTCAGTGGTGCCATGACAGTCCAATGGGGATAGCATAATCTTTTCAACAAATGGTGTGGGGCAACTGGATATCCACAATATCCACATGCAAAGGAATAAAATTGGACCCTTATTTCACATCACACACAAAACTAAACTCAAAATAGAACATAGACCTAAGTGGAATAATACAACTACAATAATACAACTCTTAGAAGAGAAATTATCTGAGTGAATTTTTGTGACCTTGTATTAGGCAAAGCTTTCTAGATATGATACTGAAGGCACAAATCAAAAGAAGAAACAGCTAAATTGGACTTGGTATCAAAATTCAAAACTTTTGTGCTTCAAAATACACAAAAGAATAATCAACTATGTCTGGTGAGAATCCCAATACTATGGCCCTGATTCGGGGCCTGGAATAAAACTCACCCACAGGGGCGGGCTCTCAGCCCAGTAGTTAACAAGATGTACACGCAGACCACTCAACCTGGGATGCCGCACCCACACACTAAATGGTAATACATCCCTTAAAGCAATAGACATGGGACACCAAAGGACCAACATTCAAACTGAGGAAATGCAGGACAAACAGGAGTGCATAATTATGAGGGGCGCAAGGGGAGTGTTACAGGCTAGGAAGGGGAGGAGACTGGGTTAGTGTTGGACATGGCGAATGGGGAATGAAACTAAATGTACACGTGACTTTGAATGTAAAACAAGCTCTTAAAATTAGATCAGAAGAGCAGCATTTGTATAGAGAGGAAGCTTAGAAGGCAGGAATGTGTAGAAAAGAAGGACACAGAGAAAATAACCACAGGGAGGAGGTGGGAAGAGAGCTCATGCATTGTGGGAATTACAATCAATGTCACAAGACAAAACATATAGGGACTATTGAATGGAAAACAAATTTGCTTTGTTAGTTTTCATACAAATCACAAAAACTTAAAAAGTGAAAAAACAACCCACAGAGTAAAAGGAAAAATTGCTAATCATAGATATGATAAAGGACTTATATCTAGAATATATAAAGGACTCTTACAACTCAGTTATAAAAAGACAACCTAATTACAAAGTGGAAAAAGGATCTGAATAGACTTCTCTCCAAGAAGATACCCAAATGGATAATAAGCAAATAAAAAGATGCCTAGCATTGTTAGTCATTAGGGAAATACAAATCACAATGAGATACCACTTCATACCTATTAGGATAGATATAATCAAAAAGATATTGAATAACAAATATTTTTACTGGTGACTGTGGAAAAATTGGCCTCCTCATTCATAGCTGGTGGGAATGTAAAATGGTACAGACTGCTTTGGGAAACAGTTTGGTAATTCCACAAATTGCTAAACAGAGAGTTTACTTGTACGTGGATAGTCATCATAGCATTATTAAGAATAGCCAAAAAGTAGAAACAATCCAACTGCTCATCAGCTGGTGACTAGATAAAATGTTGTATATGTATGCAATGGAATATTCAACAATGAAAAGGAAAAAAATACCAATATATGATAGAATGCAGATGAATCTGGAAAACATTGTGTAAAGTGAAAGAAGTCATCACAAAAAAACTTAAGATATGATTTTATTGAAATGAGATGCCCAGAATAGGCAAATTTATAGAGATAGAAGTAGATGAGTGGTGCCTTGGGCTGGGAGAGGTGGCTGGCAGGGAGTGACTGCTAATAGGCACAGGGTTTCTTTATCTAGTAGGAAAAAATATTCTAAAGTTGATAGTGGTGATAGTTGCACAACTCTTTGAATATACTAAAAAGCAGTGTTTATATACTTTAAGTGATAAATTTTATAGTGTATGAATGAGATCTCAATAAACCTGTTAACAAAATTATTTACCTGCCTCTCCATGAAGATGTGTGTTACCTGCCCTAGTTTTAAGTCCAAGACTCCATTTTATAAGTTTTCGCTGAGTAAGAGCAATTTATCAATTTGATTATTCCTATATTGCTAATAGAAGCTCTGGTAGTGTAGTGCCTAAGGCATTTGACTGCTAACCAGAAGGCTGGCAGTTCAAACCCACCAGCCACTCCTTGAAAGGAAGGTTGGGCAATCTACTTCCGTAGAGATACTGCCTTGGAAACCCAAGGAAGGGTCGCTAGGAGTTGGAAATGACTCGACGGCAGGGACTTTGGTATTTACACTTGTAATTTGTCTTACTAAGGTACCCTGAGTGGCACAGATGGTTATGCACTTAATTACTAATTGAAAGTTTGGCAATTTGAACCCACCCAGGAGCTCTGGTAGCATAGTGCCTAAGGCACTTGACTGTTAACCAAAAGGCTGGTGGTTCAAACCCACCAGCCACTCCTCGGAAGGCAGGTTGGGCAATCTACTTCCGTAGTGATATCGCCTCGGAAATCCAAGGAGGGGTCGCTGTGAGTCGGGTCCGGCTCAACGGCACAAAACAACAACAACAGAGTCACCTGTGAAGACAGACCTAGTGGTCTACTGAAAAGTCAGCCATTGAAAACCTTATGGAGCACAGTTCTGCTCTGACACACATGAGGTTGCCATTTATGTTACTACTACTTTTGGTTGTGTTTGCCTGTCATATTCATCAGCCATTGTATGTCTGTGAGTAGAAATGTTATTACATTAACCTCAGTCAAATGCTATACTGGTAGATATCCTCTGAAAACTAAAATACTTATTGATTATTTAGTGAGTCTGATTTTTAAAGAACATATTATTAAGACAGTTGACATTCCTTTTATCCAGTGTGATTTAAATATGCAATGGCTATAAAATTATGGTTTATAAGGCTTAGGAAATAATTTGCATGTCTTAGAAAAGGATATACATATATTTTTCGAAGTCTTATAAGCATATTCTGACATGTTGAGTTTGCTTAAGTATCATTAACAACAAAATAAATATTTGAACATGTACCCTATATAAGGACCTGTACTGAGCTCTAATAATATATGGAAAATTATCGGCATTATACTTGTGCTTAATAATTTTACAGTCTACTTAGAAGAGCGATTTCAGAGGCATAGTGAAATGTCAATGATTAGACATAATTTAGTGCTAAAATAAGTTCTGTGACTATCTGGAAGATTGAAATGGGTCTGAGTTTGGGAAATCTTTATGGTGGCATGAGACTTTCACATACACTTGTTTTTAAAAATCATTCTTGTTTTTTAGGTACAAAACTCAAAACATGAGTAACAATATATATAACCAGTGTTCAAAGCTGACTTGGCTAGAACTGCAATACCGTTGCTTACAACATATTCCAGAGGAATTAGAAAAGTCAAAGTAATGGATAACAAAAAAGAACCTCCGTTCTTCAATGAAGATAACGTGGGACCATTTTACTACAGACTTCCTTTCTATGATACCATGGAGCTCTTCATTGAAACATTGACTGGAACATGTTTTGAGCTGAGAGTTTCACCCTTTGAAGCTGTCATTTCTGTGAAAGCAAAAATTCAAAGATTGGAAGGTACTGGTCTTTATTTTTATAATATAAGTGTTAAATTTGTTCATGAAGGATGTATAATAATTTTTAAACTTTTCTTATGAAGAAATTTCAAATATATGGAAGCAGAAAGAAAATAGGATAATGAGCCCCCATTTGCCTGTCACTCACCTTCAACATTTATCGACTCATGAACTATCTTGCTTCCATTCCTTGGTTTCTCCCATGCCTCCATGTGAGTGATGGGAAATAATACTTTAAAATAGATTTTCAACAAGTTATGGTGACATGCAAATTCTGTTATAGCTAGCTTGTAGTTACTTTTAATTGGAAAATGTAATTGCATTCCCTTCTAGTCAACTTGGTTGCCTTTTCTGTACACCGTTTTGACAATGGCATAGTGCCTAAGGCATTTGACTGCTAACCAGAAGGCTGATGGTTCAAACCCACCAGCCACTCCTTGGAAGGAAGGTTGGGCAATCTACTTCCATACTGATACCGCCTCGCAAACCCAAGGAGGGGTCATTGTGAGTTGGATCCAATTTGACGACAGTGAGTTTGGTTTTGTTTGTTTTTTGTTTGAATGTGAAGATATTCTGAGAAGAGTTTTTGGGTTATATTTACGTGTATTTGAATTTCCATTAGTATAGCAAAGGTACTAACGTTTTGCAATTTTTTTTTTTTTTTTGTGTAGCTTATGTATTGGTGAAAAGTGCCATAAGTTATGTGGTTTTTTTTTTTTTTT